AACATCGACCAGACTACACAGCGCAACAACCCAGAAGACAGAAATCTTCATACTCATCGCCCTGATGACGGAGGCAGTATGACCTCTGAAACGTTGGTTAACATCGACCAGACTACACAGCGCAACAACCCAGAAGACAGAAATCTTCATTTTTAATAATGTTTTAAAATATACTGATCTACGGATCACTACAAATACAGGATACTGGAGCGCAGAGGTAAAGATACAAGGATTATATGCCGTGTCGTGAGTAGTAAGTAGCTCATTTCAAGATCCTTCTACTTTATCATCGGTTAAACTAACATAAGACCCTTAAAATAATCCAAACCGAACCAATATCAAAACAGGCAGATAAAATTTATTTTATATCTAATTACGCAACTAACAAACTATGTGGCAGCAAAACTCAAAAGCTTAACACTTGAAACCAAGTCACGCCAACGGACGTGCTGCCGAGTCAGTTTCGTCCAATTCCCCCCACCTTCACAGAGCACCTTTTAACGAACCATCGAACCATCTCTGAGTGGTTCCTCCCCAACTCAGTCTTCGTCAGATGTGCACTATATAATACTTTAGGCCTACCATACGATACTCGGTTTTATCTAAATCGGACAGGCAGTTTTGGTCTTAAATCTAAATATTTTTTGGGGTGGTACGTTATATTAAAGTGGATATTGTTCATGATCTCGATTTTTTGCGCACACAGCGTTCTCGAAAATGGTTGTTTCGTCATCAGATAAGGAGGGTTTCTATTCGATTGGGCCAGAGATCGAAACTTGCTGGGCCTCAGGGACCCAACCGAGTAGGAACCTTTCCCTCCCATCGCCCTGTACCCCGTACTTCGCACACCCTTTTAGTTGATGAACGAAACAGATTCAATTTTCGGATAGATTTTTTTAAGGACAAACTAGAAGATGGATATCGATAGTCTGGGTCTTGTAATATGATTACAGACGGAAGAACATGATGAGATTAATGTTTCTTTGGCAGGAGGGAGGATTTTATTTTGAGAACGTAATGGGCTGCACTGGCAAGGCCTTTTCCGGTGGTTTAGTGTTTGCTGTGTTGAGCATTCGGGTTGTACTTTATAACACAACTAAAGGCTCACCTTTACGCCTCTTCCTTCTTTACCTTGGTTCCTGTACAGGCTGCCACGACTTCCTGGATAGTCCACGGTGTGACCATGACAATAAAGCCCAGAGACATCGCCGCCATCGTCCTTGAGGCGTTTGTGCTTAGTCGCCTCTCCTGAGCAACCAGCTGTAAGCAAAAAATCGGTCAAGAAAAGCCTTTATACCAAAGGCAGGAGAAGAATAAATCTAGAATTTATTAAAGTGATTGATAAGGGTGTTTACAATCTGTTAACAAAGGCCATGTAAGTGTTAAAGTGTTTCTGGGACACCCAAGTATAGACATTCTTCTGAAACATCCAAGTGTTATATTTTATACATTCCACATTTTGTTTCATAATACAGACTTAGTAACTGCGGATTAAATACGTGTATTTTTCAAAACTAACCAATAAACAATCGAAAATCTCTAATAAGATAAGCGGCTTGGGTAATATGGTTACGATTATAATTAACAAACGTCAGAAGAAAAATTATTACCATAATTTTGCCCCTTTCCAATATTGTAGCGTAGTACAGGGAGGTGGGATGTAAACCTGAACTTCTGGCCAACATGTAAATGTTAAGGACTTGCTGCAGGGACCAAAGTAAACTACAAAGAATCCCATGGCCGAGAATCGAACAGTAGACTTCCAAAAGAAGCATCTGGAAGGAAACAGGGGCGTTCTGGATCACTACGGAGGTGTTAAACCCGCGCGCAGGAAGAAATGGTTCCGTTTTATTGTGATGTGGGTTCACACAATGGAAATCTTATCTGTGACGCTCCATCAGTCACCAATCAACCGTGGAACTGGCCGACACGCTGGCGTCGCCCTCAATGACGCACTGCGTCGCGACGCTAGTTGAGATGACGCGCAGCATAGAAGTGGCCAAACTGATACCGATAACATATTTGCAACAATTTATCGAAGTAGAGTCACAAGATACAGATTGATTATCGACAGAATTAACGAAACAGTTGCCATACTATACTGAAAAGACCGAAAAATTCAACAGATGATAAAACTAATAACTTTTTCAGTAGTTATATATACACTGAAAAGTTTTTTTTCAAAGAAGTTAAATAGATGAACGACTTTCATACAGATCTTTATACCAAAAACCTAAAGGGAATGCATAGCTTACGCGAGTAGTATAATATTAAAATGTATATTAACCAAGATATTAGGATTTAGACTGGATTAATCAGACTTACGATAAGGTAGAGTGGCGGAATCTTACAAACACGACAGTGAATCTTCTGGATGCATGCGGGGAAGATAATTTTTTATCGGCTGAGTGCCTATAAGCATCTCAATAAAAACTCTGCTCCATACAATCAGTTTGTTCCACACACTCACAAGAATGCCTCCACAAACGCGGCACAGTTCAGAATCCACCTAAGGCTCGTAATATTTATTACCATGTGTAGCCTAGAAATAAAAAACATGGTGAGATTTCAGATTCTCACAGCGGCGAGTATAAAAATTCCATCTTCTGTGTTACTGCGCCATGTAGTTTGGTAAAAGTTTACTGACGTTTCAGAGGTCCTTGCTGCCTCCAAAATCCCCCAATGATGGAGGTAGAAAGCGCTTCTGAAACATATGGAAACTTCTACCAAATCACACAAAAGGCGCCAACAACCCAGAAGAAAGAAAATCATCTTCTGAGCAAAAAAACTGCTGTTACACAAAGTTACTTGTATTCTTGTTAAATCTGTTAACAAAGTGTCCCTCTCTAATTAAGAAAGTAATACCGCTGAAGTTCCTCTTATAGTTCTTAGGCATCATTATGCTTAAGCGCGCAAGAGCGGCAGTTGTCCCATGCCACTTACAAAGCGTTTGATATTACCCTCTTTTACACATTTTACAGAAATCGATCATCGATAAAAACACCCTCAGAGACACATCAAACGTCCCGGCAGAGTGGCTAACACTCCCGCTCTGTATTTAAGAGATCCCGGGTTTAAATCTCAGCCCGGAGTTCGGCCAACCTACGTGAGATTTTTCGTGGGTTTTCTCAATTCCTCTCAAGCATATTCCGGGACAGTATACGAAATTATGCCATAATCGCTTCATCCACATCCTCTTCAATAATTTATCATTCAGTCACCCAACGTTATACAGTCTCTCAACTAATAGTGTCGTTAAATAAACAACAAATATAAATACAAAAACCAGTTATTCTCCTATTTGTCTACTGCCTACAAGAGTTATCCATCTTTCTTCGAACATTCATTCTACCTCCTTTGAGTCTGTCTCGAGATATACTGATATTTCTCAGAAGTTCGCTACTCTGAACAATATATTCGCCACCAATTCACCTTGCCTTCTTGTCATATAATCATTTATCTATCCATTAAACGCTGACGTCTCTATTCGCCTTTTACGCCAGTTTCTTTCTAGTTTTACAGACTATTCTGCTGTTCGATCCATACTTCAGTTTCCTCTATTAATATTACGCGTACATTCTTTTAGGACAAATTGACTGCCTCTATGGCGCAACAGCCCGAAGCCGAGCCTTGGCCTCCTCCCACATGGGAGATTTTCACGACAAATTAACGACATTAAATCCTTCGGCTGAAACATAACAAACCCTGTATGATTTGAAGTTTTCACAGCGGTGAGTATGAAATCTTCATACTCACCGCTGTGTGACAAGTTGTATGCTTAACTAGAGAGAATATTATGGCTGCCGGTGGATTTAAAAAGAGTTCTTGACGTTTATTCGACATTCTCACTTCGTTTCTTATCTTGGCTTTGCATTATTCACGCGGCGCTACTACGTTACATCTTTAAGTGACGTAACTAAATAAATGTCCTCTCAATTGGCCGAGAAGTTCTAAAAGCTTCGACAATCTGATTACGCGGCACGGAGTAAAGCATTGACGTAATGTTTGGTCTTAGTGAGCTTTTAGATAAAGAAGTCAACGAACCACAGCACTCAAGAAAAAGGACAGAAATGTATTTTAACTGTCTTTTTACAGCCATGAGGCCATCGTACTTTATTTACGGTTTCTAAACTATTAGGAATCACTTTAACAGAATCATATAACATGATTAATTATCTCTTCATTTATGGGCGTAATTAATAACTAATTTGATAGTAAATTATCCTAGAGTAGTCGATAATTATTTTATCAAGATATTTTAATGGATAACGATTCCGAGGGTTAATCATCTTAATTATAAAATCCAACAAATGGCGCTATTCTGAGTATTTTTTTATAACCAAAAGGCACAATTTGTCATACAAAACAGATGTGGTAAAATAAAAAAACGATGTCAAATAGTTTCCATTTTCAGTATAATTTTCATAATATTTTCTCAGTGATAAGCAATTTTAATCATATCAGTGCAGTTTATTTTAATAAGAAAAATAACAGGACGATAAACTGGAGCCTTTACTCGTCACAAATAAATTAGTTATTTTCGGAAATGTTCATACTTTCAATTTCCGCTGTTCTCGACCAAACAAATGCATTGGGCACGATGATATTCCAGGTATTCAGACAAAGTTTCCGGGGATATCGACCGACAATTTGCGTCACAACCTTCCCACCTCTGTACAGACAGAGAATAACAGGATACATGAGAAATGCATTTGCGATTTAAATGTGAAGGGTAGACCGTCAAAAATCTATTAAATTCATTCCGGTATCAGTACGTACGACAAAACGATGGAGTACTGATATGACATTACAAACTGCATACAGCATTTGTTGTGTTGACCTACGTCTTCTCTGCATGAAGTCGATGAAGGTAACGCACAATGAGTAAGGCTACATTTAAAGTTCTCACAGCAAAGAGCTGAAGATGTCCATCCTCTGGAATGTTGCTCTGTATAATCTCGCATATACTGACCAGTGTTTCAGAGATTATCTCCCAGATGATAGAAGCAGTAAGCACCTCTGAAACGTCGTTCAGTATATAAAATTAAAAAGTGACTGACCAAGGAGAGAATACAACAATAGAGATAGTTACAGTAGAGCAGAGGACGATAAAAACTCTGTGTTAGGCGAACAATGAGAATTAACGTAAACGTTCAGTTGCAGACACGTGTAGCATTCTAGTTTACATTACGCAGAACTGAGCTTATTTTGAAATATTTTTGAGTAGAAAACAAACAGAACACATATCTGACCTTTCGCGCTACCTACGTGTGAAGCTGAATAATAAATCACAGCCAAATCGATGTTTGCCCTGGCATTCTACTTGCGTTACCTCTCTCCATTGGATCAATACTTGAGTCGGCAGTAAACGAGAAACTTTACTCCGAAGCTTAATGATTCTAATTACATCTGAAATGAAGACGTTAATGATGATCCACACTTTAAAGCAACTTTTTTTGTGGAGGTAACCAATACAGGAGCTGGAAAAGTTTGCTGTGAGTCACTGTAGGAAGAAGAGATGGGATAAGGAAATGATTAAAAGAATAGAGTTCTTTCGTTCAGGAAATTGAACTTGAGAATTCTTGAAGAGAAAAGTTTCGAAAACTTCGCTCCAGGGGTTAGTTGTGTAACTAGATGCATAATGCATACTTAGCAGGCACCAGACTGGTATAAATTACAACGATAACTATCACATCCCGATAAAGGCAAAAGTGTTAAGTAGGGCTGCGAGTCACCTCCAGCATACTCCAGCAACGCATCTCTTCTGTAGGAAGAGTACATCGGAAAACACGAGATAGTGTGGCAACTCGTTTGCTTTCTATCTGTGAGATACACGGTTCGAATTTCGGTGCAAACAATCTCTATTCCCATCAAAACATTCCGTTGTTTCCCTCAGTACTCCAAAGCAAACGCGAGGAACGTAAAGAAAGCCTACATTAGTATACTGGACGCAAAATATCTGCGATCCTGTGCTACGTCACAGTAAGTACTGAAGGGAAAATGGAAACAGCAAAGGGGGAGCACGACGTCTCATGGGCTATCGCTCCCCCCCCACCCCTTACTCTGGCTGGCTGACCAACAACGTGTGTATTTATAACGGCCAACGAAGCTCGGAGATATCTTGCGTCAAGTTTACAAGCCAATAGTGTTTCCTCTACCTCCCCTTTCAGTCCGTCGTACATAATCATCCTCTTGTCTCATTTGATGCTAAATAACCTCTGCAGCTGATAAAGAGTGTTACGTAACCAAGTAACCAATGG